CAGCACTTTGGGAGGCTGAGGCAGGAAGATTGCTTGAGCTCAGGAGTTCGAGACCAGCTTGGGCAACATGGCAAAACCCCATCTCTACACACACACACACACACAAATTAGCTGGGTGTGGTGGCTGTAGTCCCAGCTACTCCAGAGGCTGAGGTGGGAGGATGGCTTGAGCCTGGGAGGCAGATCATGTCACTGCACTCTAAAAAAAAAAAAAGAGGCAGACCCTATCTCAAAAAAAAAAAAAAAAAAAAAAGGGAAAAAGAACCTAGGTTCTGAAAACAGAGTTCCTGGGTTCAAATCCCAGCTCTTCCACATACTAGCTGGTTAAACAACTTAACCTCTCTGTCATGATGTTTTTGCCATGGAAACAAGAACCTAGCTCACAGATTTGTTGCAAAGACAAATCAGTAAGCCAATCAGCATGAAGCATTTGTAACCACGCCTTGCACACTATAATGACTCAATAAAACCATTGTTATTATTATTGCTTTTGTTAATATTATTATTATTATTGTAAAGTCATTAAAAATGAGGCAACTCTAAATGTATCAATATAAAACAATCTCCAAGATAGAGTTAAGTCAAAAAATAAAAACCAGTGGGCCAGGCATAGTGGATCACACCTGTAATCCCAGCACTTTGGGAGGCCAAGGCAGGCAGATCATCTGAGGTCAGGAGTTCAAGACCAGCCTGGCCAACATGGCAAAACCCCATCTCTATTAAAAATACAAAAATTAGCCAGGTGTGGTAGCACACGCCTATAATCCCAGCTACTCGGGAGGCTGAGGCTGGAGAATCACTTGAACCCAGGAGGCGGAGGTTGCAGTGAGTTGAGATCACATCATTGTACTCCAGCCTGATCAACAAGAGTGAAACTCTGTCTCAAACAAATAAATAAATAAATAAAAGCCAGTGAGACCCTATTGCTACAAATTGGGCCCATGTGTGGTGGCTCATGCCTGTAACCCCAGCAATTTGGGAGGCTAAAGCAGGAGGACCACTTGAGCCCAAGGGTTCAAGACCAGCTTGGGCAACATAGGGAGACCTCATCTGTACCAAAATAACTTCAAAAATCAGCTGTGCTTGGTGGTGCGTGCTTGTGCGTGGTTGTGCGTGGTTGTGCGTGGTGGTGCATGGCGGTGCATGGTGGTGCATGGTGGTGCGTGGCGATGCGTGGTTGTGTGTGGTGGTGCCCGGTTGTGCGTGGCAGTGCGTGGTTGTGTGTGGCGGTGCATGGCGGTGCGTGGTGATGCGTGGCTGTGTGTGGTGCATGAGGTGTGGTGGTGCGTGGTTGTGCGTGGTGGTGGGTGGTTGTGTGTGGTGGTGCATGGTGGTGTGTGGTTGTACATGGTGCGTGCCTGTGGTCCCAGCTACTCAGGGAGGATCACCTGAGCCTGGTAGGTTGAGGCTGCAGTGAGCTGTGATCCCACCATTGCACTCCAGCCTGGGCAACAGAGTGAGACTCTGTCAAAAAAAAAAAAAAAAAAAAAAGCTAGAAGAGGACTTGAAATGTTCTCAACATACAGAAGTGATAAATACTTGAGATGGATACCCCAAATACCCTGACTTATTATGCATTCTATGCATGTAACATCATATGTACCCCATAAATATGTTCAAAATATATCATTTTCAAAAAGAAAAGCCAACTAGTAGCTAATACACATCTTTTTCAAAAGGACGGGTTGAATATCCCTTCTCAGAAATACTTGGGACCAGAAAGGTTTCAGATTTGGGATTTTCTTTCAGATTTTGGAATATTTGGGCTGAGCATCTGTAACCTAAAACTCTGAAACCCAAACTGCTCCAATGTGCATTTCCTTGGAGCGTCATGTAGGCACTCAAAGAGTTTCAGATTTTCGAGCACTTTAGATTAGGGATTTTTTTTTTTTTTGAGATAAAGTCTCACTCTGTCGCCCAGGCTGGAGTACAGTGGCCTAATCTCGGCTCACTGCAACCCCTGCCTTCTCAGGTTCAAGCAATTCTCGTGCCTCAGCCTCACATCACCATGCCAGGCTAATTTTTGTATTTTTGGTAGAGATGGGATTTCACCATCTTGGCCAGGCTTGTCTCGAACTCCTGACCTCAGGCTATCCGCCCACCTTGCCCTCCCAAAGTGCTGGGATTATAGGCATGAGCCACCGTGCTGGCCGTCTGTTGTAACTGTTAATGAGCTGCCCCCCGATCCCCACAGTTTTAAGGAAGTCTAGAAGGATTCTCAAAACACAAGTAGCTGCATTACTTCTGAGAAGGGGAGACCTTCTTATTAAAATACACTGTTCGGTTGCTTTTAAAGTCTACTCCTGGGTGCACATGTTCCCATTTCACCAGGGCAGGGGTGGGTGTTACGCAGAAAAAAATAATAATAATAAAGCTGGAGTCATAGGAATATCCTCTTGGCCAGCCTTTCCTATCCCCACACCCCCGTATAGAAAACCAGAGTGGAAGTTCTGGAGACCCCAGTTTGGGGACTCTGCTCCTAGCCCCTCCCTCCCCGCTGACCAGTAAGACATATGGGGAAACAGAGGCAGTGGGGGAGGTACCTGCAGGGAGCTGTGGACAGAGAAGAGGCAAGAAGAAGTAGGGGTGGCAGCGGAATGGGCCGCGGGGTCCTGGAGCACCAATAGCTGGTGGTCTGTCTTCTGGGTGAACAGCAGCTGCAGGAGAGGGGGTAAAAGTTCGTGGGAGCAGGAGGGACCCCAGAGCAACCATGAGTTCTCACACGCTCTGGCCCATGCCTCTAGTGCCACCCATTTCTCAGAAAGAAAAACTAAGGAGAGATGGAATGTGGTCCTTAGTGTCCAGTCTCCCAGCATAGGGCTGTGGGCAGAGACTGCTGGCTCCCTGAGGAGGGGCTGGGGGCCTGGACTCCTGGGTCTGAGGGAGGAAGGCTGGGGGCCCGGACTCCTGGGTCTGAGGGAGGAGGGGCTGGGGGCCCGGACTCCTGGGTCTGAGGGAGGAGGGGCTGGGGGCCCGGACTCCTGGGTCTGAGGGAGGAGGGGCTGGGGGCCTGGACTCCTGGGTCTGAGGGAGGAGGGTGCTCAGGGCAGGACCCCTGATCTGAGGGAGGAGGGGCTAGGGTCTGGACTCCTGGGTCTGAGGGAGGAGCTGGGGCCTGGACTTTCCAGTCCGAGGGAGGAGGGACCGAGAGGCATACAAAATCCCCATACCTTAGTGAGGGCTGGGTTGGGCTCAGAGAAGTCCCCACCAGGTGTTCCCTGAAGGCAATTGAGCTCGAGCAGCCGGCTCCGTTCCTACCAGAAGATATGGACAGCTACGTGTCAAAGTCAGAATGGGCTGTCCTAGCTGCTTTCCCTAATGTCAGGAGACATCCGGGGTGCGGGGAGGTGGTGGGATGCCCCAGGGGGAAGTGAGGATGGTAGGGCAGGTGCCAGGGAGCTCACCTGTGACAGGGCCTGAAGGGCCTCCTCCTTCTTCCGGCTCAGCCCCCGGCTCTCGGCTGCCATCTGCTCCCCCAGTGACTTGAGCTGCTCTTCCAGGACCCGGATTCGGCGCTGCAGAGCACCCTGTCCCGGTTACTCATCTGCCAAGGCCCCAGCCACCCTCCCACAGAACCACGTCTGCCTGGAGGGCTGGGGTTTGCTCCAGCCCCTCCCAGAGACCACGGGATCGGAGCATCCAGGGCTGGGGACCCAGCGTTCAGCTCCCTGGACCCTCTTCCCTTTTGAGGGTCCAGAAGAGATCTGGGAAAGATGAAGAGAAAAGGATGGACAGAGAGAACAGCAACCAAGACAGGCCCCAAACGACAGAGATGTAGACAAAGATTCAGGGAAAAGAAAAGATAGAAATAGAACAGAGACAAATAGAGACAACCCGAGACAAAGGAAAAGCCAGTGAGACAGGAAAAAGATCCAGAAACAGACGGGGAAAGGAAACCCACAGAAGAGCTTTTTTTTTTTTGAGACTCAGTTTCGCTCTTGTTGCCCAGGCTGAAGTGCGATGGCTCAATCTCGGCTCACCGCCACCTCTGCCTCCCAGATTCAAGCAATTCTCCTGCCTCAGCCTCCCAAGTAGCTGGGATTACAGGCATGCGCCACCACGCTCGGCTAATTTTGTATTTTTAATAGAGACGGGCTTTCTCCATGTTGGTCAGGCTGGTCTCGAACTCCCAACCTCAGGTGATCTGCCTGCCTCGGCCTCCCAAAGTGCTGAGACTACAGGTGTGAGCCACTGAGCCCGGTCGAGCTTTCTAATCCAAAACTTTGGGAAAGTCTGTGTTAAATATGGTCAAACATGCCCATTTTTTTCCCAAGGGTCTGACAAGTCAGACCCTTGAATGTGAAGCTCCCAGGAGGGATCTATGGAGCATCTTTTTGGAACAGAGGCAAAGAATGTGGTGGTGAATACCAAGTTTGTTCAAATCCTGGCTGTGGCGAGGCACGGTGGCTCATGCCTGTAATCCCAGCACCGTGGGAGGATTGCTTAAGCCCAAGAGTTTGAGACCAGGTGAAACCCCATCTCTACTAAAAATACAAAACTTATCCAGGTGTGGGGGCTCGTACCTGTGGTCCCAGCTACTCGAGAGGCTGAGGTGGGAGGATCGCTTAAGCACAGGAGGTCAAGGCTGCAGTGAGCCGTGAATGTGTCACTGCACTCCAGCCTGGGTGACAGAGTGAGACCCTATCTCAAAAAATAAAAATAAAAAACTCCTGGCTCTATCCCTTACTAAAGAAACTTTGAAAAGATTACTTAAGCATCTTGACCTTCAGCTTCTTTATTTATAACATGGAAAAAAAAAACAACGTAATAGGACTTGCCTCAATAGGTTTGTTGTAAGGATTCAATGAGGAAATGCTCATGAAACATTCAGGACCATATCTGGCACATAGTAAATGTTTCATCAGTACCAGCTCCTGTTGTTACTATTCAGAAGAACATGACAGGTAGGAAACAAGGACAGAGAAAAAGGCAGACACAGAGCAGGGGAGACAGAGAGGAGCAGCAAAGGGGGCAGCGCTGGTCGGGCATGACTCACTCTGTGCTGCGCC